ACCCCCCCCCCCCCCCACACACACAGGTCCGCTGGAGAGAAACTGTCCAGTCTTCTGGCCGACATGGATCAAATCCTCAGCGCCAACGATCGTTTCTTGGTGGGTCGCTGGATTGAGGACGCTCGCTCCTGGGGCTCGGATGACAGTGAGAAAACCCTGCTGGAGTATAACGCCAGGAACCAGATCACTCTGTGGGGACCTGATGGGGAGGTATAATATATGTGTGCATAGTTGGATGTCTTAGAAATATTATTACAAAGTCCTATCCCATTTTTTGGCCACTGTTTATAGTTACTTTGACCATGAGTTCATTCAGAAACCAAATTAAATGTTCTATCTGCTATATCAAAATCGTAAGATTCTTTGAAGTCGTTATCAAGATCAAATTATTATTGCATTTGAAAAAACTTGACATGTTGTGAAACTCAGAACGTTTAATTTCAAATTTATCAAAACTAGGTCCTTCGAGCAAGTAGAACTTTGTTCATTCTAGAGTAACGATGTGTTAATTTGTAGATAAACACTAAAAAAAGGAAAGGAGTTGGGGGTTAATTGTGATGTCCAAATCATAGTCTTTATATTCCACTCCTCACTGTGCATCACAATGATGACATAAAAATCTAACACTTTACAACAAGAGCGCTACAATGCTCCCAATGATTAATTCCGCTCCTATTGAACCTATGTATTTATATAAGATACCCCCCCCCCCTCAACTAAGCAGAAATGAATGATATATGGAATTAATATGCAGTCTGATTAGAGGTGTGATGGATTTACTGCGGTTTAGGATTTCAGTGATAACTATAAACAGCTGTGCGATGCCTTACGCCATATGAACTTTCTTGCAGTATATTATTAAGAGTGAATTCACAGAAATGTCAATCCCCCTCAAAGATCAAAACTATCATCTCGGATGTAGAGTGTCCCTATCACGATATTCTAATATGTTCTTCTTCGTGCAGTAAATCTGAAATCGTGTTGACTCTCAGTAGGCTACATAGTTCTTTATATGGTCGCTTTTAAGGACAAGCGGGCTAACCCAGGTTTCGGGGGTAACCAGAAATCTTCACCTACACCAAAAGTGGGCATTGCCCTACCTATAGGAGAAGTTTGGTTTCTTTGGAGTGTATATTTGTTTGGTTATAGAGAAAACTCTTCTTGTCTTTTAAAGAAAATGAACAAAGGTTCAGAAACTTTCTCAAAACAGCATTTTTCGGGATAGCAAGCTTGTCCTTAAAAGCGACCATTAATATGTGTACCGCTATTTTAAAATCAGGCCTGACCTAAATCAGACTCATAGGTCATAGTTGTAGCTTTTTGTATGTTTTTCTTCATCAGATCCGGGACTACGCCTCCAAGCAGTGGGCTGGTGTCGTTGCAGGGTAGGTGGTTAGACTAATAGTTACTTAACTTTACTTTTATTCACCGCTTATACCCTTTTGAGTGTCGCGGGAAGAAAGAGACGTCTTTCTGCCACCAACCGGAGAGCTTGGGTCAGGGAGATGGATTAATAGTTTAGTAATGTAAATCGTACTAAGTGTTTACGCCCACAGCAGTGCAGTTTTGATCACGAAGGACGCAAGATACTTTGTGTTTGTCCGTCGGGGTCTAAGCAGACTGAATGAGATACAAAATCCCGACATTCAGAGATACTCGATAGCAAAAACTTCCCAACCACTTAACTTTCGAATTTGAAAAAAAAATTAAAGGTGGTTGAGAATCATTTAAAGGGTGCACAGTTTTACTGAGAAGTCTGAAGTCACTGTAGTTAATTTTCAGTTTTTCATTAGTTTCATTTAGATCTAATCTTGGGAAAGCCCGTCTTCTAAGACGCCATTGTAAACAAGTGAGGCTTCTGTTCACAACGAGTGCGTGCATTGATCCCACAATGACTTGACGATCGATTCTTTTGAGTCCGTTCGTCGAACGGGAAACCCAGCTATCCGAACCACTTAACTTTCGAATTTGACAAAATAAATGGTGGTTGAGAATCATTTAAAGGGTGCACAGTTTCATTGAGGAGCCTGAAGTCCCTGTAGTTTAATTTTCAGTTTTTCATTAGTTTCGTTTAGATCTAATATAGGGAAAGTCCGTCTTCTAAGACGCCATTGTAAGCAAATGAGGTTTCCGTTCACTGGCTGTGCACACTTATTCCACTCCTTTGAAATTATGGAGTGTACAACGAAGAAAGCGGAATAGAGGATCAATCTATAGGCCTACATCTATTATTATATATTATGGCAAATTGGAAACGCGTGTGTCACTTTTCGCTCAAGATTTATTTCTCCATTCCAGTAGAGGGTAAATATACACGTGTAGTAGGCCAATGACTTTCAGTTGATGTTAATGCATCGATCATCCCTTTCGTCAAAAGGCGGCCAAGCTATTTAATATAGTATGTATAGATTATGTTCGTCATACAGGGATGAGTGCGAGGGAGACAGACAGGCATGAGTGAAACTTTATTTTTAGTAAATAATTAGTCAGTCAAATTAAATCCTACTTTTACCCAGTTTCGTAATAGATCTCTCTTATGGATTAAACAGTGCTCTTATTAAAAATGATTTTACAAATCAGTCATTCACCAATATGAAATGAAAAGCAAGCTGTTTTCAAAGGGTATCCTTTGTAATGTTGACTGTACATGTATCTCTTGCTAAATATAGACCTAATTCATTTCTTATTGGTTTCTGTTCATAATCTGCTTCTTCAAAAAAAAAGGAAACACACACACATACACACACACACACACACACACACACACACACACACACACACACACACACACACAATAACACACACACACTGCTTTATTGGTATCTTTCTTTTCAGGTATTATAAACCTCGTTGGGAATTTTATGCTTCCTGGCTGGTGGAGTGCATACAAAATGTAAGTTGACCTTCCCTTATCCTAGATTATAGAGACCAGTGCTTTTCTCAGCGGGATGCTTGTCAGCCTGGGGGCTGAACCCACAGTGGGTGAGTCGTAATTGGTTGCTTTTAAGCACAAGGGTGTTATCCCGAAAAAAAAGCTCTTTTGAGAAAATCGAAGATAAAGTTTCTGGACATTTGTTCAGTTTCTTTAAAAGACAAGGAGAGTTTTCTCTATCTCCAAACAAATATACACATCAATGAAACCAAACGTCTCCTATAAGTAAGGCAATGCCCACTTTTGGTGTAGGTCAAGATTTCTGGAAACCCCCGAAATTTGGGTTAGCCCGCTAGTCCTTAAAAACGACCAATTTTGGTGGACGGCAGGGATTCACCCGAATATTGACATGTGTTATTAATTTAATGCCTCGCTTGGAAATACCAAGTAAGTGGATGATACCAAAATTTTAGCCTCTTTAATCTTTAAAGACCCACATTCTGGTCATTCGAGAACATTTTAAGACGCTCTTTTTGTAAAAGAAGCGTGCCTTTGTTAATCGAAAAGATTTCAAAATTCTGTTTTCTTCATCTGAAACTACTTTTGTGCAGCAACATGCATGGTATGAACTGTGGTAATTCGTCTTTCTGGGTGTAATGGGTTGGAAATTGGTTGCAACGTTGCTGTTGGTCTTCTTCAGGTCGGATGTATGGATCCGCTCCGTCTTTAAGCGTTAAAGGTGGCAAAAAGTGAGTGCTCGCTCTAAAACGTTTGACACTTATTGGCATAGATTGTAAGCATATTCCATTCCATTCGACACGTTTTATTTAGATAAAAAAAGCAGGTAAGCTAGCTCTCTCTCTCTCTCTCTCTCTCTCTCTCTC